CAGCTTCGATAGCAGCATAAGAGCCCCATCGGCTCCCCGCGGCATAGAACCCTCGGCCGCAGTATGTGCAAGGCTTACTCGAGTCCGTCGGGAACATCAACATCAGCTCCATCATCATCAACGTCGCCACCTCTGCCTCGGTCCGAAACTCCTGCGAATACCAGGAAGAAGAGGAGGAAGCGGAGGAGGGGGATCCGGAGGAAGAGGAGGAGGAGGAGCATGGGCCATGGGCCAGATATGCAGCGGCGAGTAAACGATCACCGACGCGTATCGATGACGCGAGGATGCACCGGCGATGCATCTGCTACGACCGGGAACGCGAAAGCAACGCCACCTCTGCGACGGCTGCCTCCCCTTCCTCACTCGCCCCCCACTGCCTCCATATTCTGTCGTCGCCCCCGATATCCGCCCACGCTCAATCCCCTTTTCCCGAGTGAGCAACGCATCAAATGTGACGAGATGGAACCGCGCATCGGCGATGCATCAGCGACGCGCTTGGTTGCCGCACCAATTGCACGGATGGTTCGCGATGCGATCGAGGGTAGTTGTACGTTTGCATTATGATCGGATGGGGGCGGCTCGTTTGCAATGACCTCAGAGAAACGGCGGCGTCATTGATTGCGCCGGATGAAACGGATCAAGGTAATGATGGGAACAACTATCGACGATGATGATGGCGATGAATGCGGCGGCGATGGCGCAGGCGTCTCGGCTCGAACTAGTTCGAGAGCTGCGATCGAGAGTTGCGATGGCAACGGGCGCGACTTGCTCTCAGCGCCATGGCATTCAGGTCTTTGCCGCCCACGATTGACCAGGCGGATATCGGCGCCACAATCGAGCAGACGCGCATGAACATCGCGTCGAATCCAGCAGCTTCGCACGGTTCTGCGGGCGGCTGCAGCGCAGGTGGGCGACGACAGCGACGGCGACATGCGCGGCGACGGTGGAGGCAACAGCGACGACGAGCACTCCGGGCCGACGGAGTACGAGCTCTTCGACCCCGACGACGTCAGCGGCATCATCGACGACGCAGAGATGCCTGCTGCCGACGTGGCAGCGCCGCTGTGCCCTGACTCGAGCGGGCCCGGTGACGCGAAGCAGCAGCGCGACGCGGAGCAGCACGAAAAGTTGCACGACGGGAAGCAGCGCGGCGAGAAGCAGCACGAAGAGACGCAGCACGAGAAGGACGAGACGCAGCTCGCAACGGCGCCATATTGCAACCTGAAGGAGCTCGCCGAGGAAGCTGCCGCGCGGTGCACGACGATCGACTTGATGCAGGGGCGCGCGGGCGCCATGAAGAAGTTGGCTGGGCAGATCGAGCAGGCCGAGAAGAAGAAGCTCGATCGCATGCTGCGTGAAGCAGCGCCTCCGCCCGATGCGCTCAGCGAATTGGCGTGGAAGCCAATGGCGGGCGAACTGACGCCCAGCGCGGAGCACGCGGCCTCGGCGGCGAGGATGCCCACGGAGCAGATCGCGCAGCCATCGCCGACGTCGCCCACTGTCGCCGAGGACTGCGGGGCACCTCTGAAGGAAGACGCGCGAGCGGCGAGGAGGAGAAGGCGGGGGAGGAGGATGAGGAGGAGAAGGAGAAAGAGGAAGAAAAAGAGGATGAGGGATCGGAGGAGACGGAGAATGAGAAGAGGGACGATGATGATGATAAGGGAGAGGAGGCGGATGACGATGACGATGATGACGATGAGAATGAGAGGGATGATGAGTAAAGATGCGACGACTGACCATCGCCAAATGCGGCTATATCATTTCTGGACGGTTGGTCGGTGGTCCGTTGACACATCATCGATGAGTCATCGATGAGTCATCGATGCGTCATCGATGACGCACCGATGACGCGTCGACAGGCGACGGATGACATAGCGGCCACCGTCGCCCCTCTCCCCCCCGCGCCCACCCCGAGGACTGAGCCGCCTGCGCCTGCAGCGGTTCCAGTGCTTGCTGCTGGAAGAGCAACTCGTCGTAGGCGCCCGCCTGCGACCGGAGGCAGCGGCGCCCGTCGTCGCAGAGAGGGGTGGCGCAAAAGGGAAATGGGCGAGGCGATGCCCTCCTCCTCCGCCCCCCCCCCCCCCCCCCCCCCATTCCCCCCACCCCTTTCCCCCCCCCCCTCCCCCCCCCCCCCCCCCCCCGCTCGCACCCCCCCCCCACCGCCACCGCCACCGCCGCAGCCGCCGCCCCGTCCTCAGGGAAATAATGAAGGCGAGGACATATGCTAGAGGGGGGAAGAGGAGGGGGGAACGGAAGACAAGGAAGCGCGGGGAGATCACGGGGGCGACGACTCGGAGGCAGCGGAGGAGGAAGAGTGGCCAGAAACTTGGGAAGACGGGGTGGAGAGGAGGAGGAGGAGGGGGCGGAAAAGAATGAGGAGGAAGGGGGGACGAGGACGAAGAAGAGAGGGGAAAGAGGAGGATGAAGATGAGCAGGAGGAGGGGCACGATGAGGAGAGGGCGAGGAGGGCGGTGATGAGGCGAGGAGGAGGGAGAGCAGGAAGCGGAGGAGGAGGAGGTGGCCGAGGAGGAAGAGGAGGAGGAGCAAGGAGGAGGACGAAGAGAGAGCGAGGAGGAGGACGAGGATGAGGATGAAGGGAGGGCGGAAGACAACTTACTCGCGGCGCTCGCATCATCTTACGAGCCACGTCCTAGAAGGCAATCCAGTTTCACACGACGCAACCTTATTCCTCCTTGCTCATATGTTCCCCTCTTCCTCCCGTCCGCCCCCCACCTCCTGGCCCCGCCCCTCATCCCCGCCCCTCCTCTTTCTTTATCCCTCATCTTCCTTCCTCCCCATCGCCTTCCTCTCCTCTCCCTCCTTCGCGTCCCTTCCCCCCCCCCCCCCCCCCCCCCCCCCCCCCCCCCCCTCCCTGCCTCATCCTCCATCCCCTTTCTCCTCCACATCGGTCCCTCGCCCCGTCCCTCGCAGCGTCCGCGGCCCCATGCTCGCGAGCTGTTTCTCGTTTAAATGTTTCATGTAAACGTTGCATTACACTGCCAATTGACGGCGAAGAACACGGCGCGCAAGTGGATGCAGGCCGAGGAAATCGCTCGCAACCAGTTGCAATGGATAAACGTCATCGCCCCCCCCCCCCCCCCCCCCCCGCCACCGCCACCACCACCACCACCACCACCGCCACCACCACCACCACCACCACCACCCCTCATCCCCGCCCTCTCCAGTGGGGGCGGCTGGTGGCTTCGATCGCGACGCCCAGCTCGACGTCGCCGGCGTTTGCGGCGCCACTCTGCGAGGACTTGGCCAGGGGCAGGCGGCGTAGGCGGTGGCTGATGCACATGTGTTCTCTGTTTCACGCGCGAACGCGCGGGCGTCGTCGCGGCCCGCTGGGGGGGGGGGGCGCGTTTTTCAAGCGCGAACGTTTCGCCCGAGGCACCCTCGCAACATGAGCTTTATGCGTTCAACGTTCCATGCCCAGCCCGCTGGATGCATCGAGCAATCGCTGCCGCAGCAGTCACCCCACGCAAATAACAAAGTTTAATCTTAGAGTAAACACTTCACGTCCTGGACGAGGACTTAACGTCTTAGTCTACAACAAAACAACACTTGAGTCTTTGAATCGTACTTAGACCACACATATGAAGTACAAAGCTCGTGCTAACAAGTGGCGACCCTCCGGGGGGCACGATGGCCCCGCGGTCGCCCGCGAGCAAGGCGGCCGCTGCCGCGCCAGGAGCACCCGTCAAAATTCCAGCTGCAAGAGATGAATGGCCCCGATCGCCTGCCTCCTTTTTCGTCCGCCCCGCAGCGTCGCGGCCGTCGTCGGCGTCGTCGCTGTCGCGCCCAGACTCGCCCTCGTCGCCAGAACCGCAGCTTCCGCGCGTCGCAGGGGCAGGGCCAATGCACCACCACGGTTCGCAGAGGGCCATGTCCTCAGGGGCGCGCGGCTCGCGCGCGAAGAACGCGTTGCCGCGCCCCGCGCGGGGCGCGCAATTGCACCGCGACCTGACTTTGCCCAGGCATGCAAGTTGAACGAAGCGTCGCGGCCAGCCCTCGCCGCCGGCAGCCACGGGCGGCACTGCGGACGAGGTGCAAGCGCCATCCTTCCCACTGGCCAGGAAGCCCGAGCACGGCGGTCCACAGGACGTTGTTCGGCTGCTGTCTTTTCCACAAACTGGCGAGCCCAAGCACGGCCTACTGGGCGAGGGAGCAGCCATCGGCGACGACGCCGGTTGGCTTCTGTCTTTTTCACCGGCTGGGAAGCCCGAGGTGGGCGGTCCAGACGCGGAAGCAGCCGTGCGTTCAGCTCCGATCCGTTGCGAGCCAGTCAGGGCTCTCGGAGCAACCGCCATTCAGGGCTCTCGAACCAGCCGTTACCCAATTGACTGCGGCGAAAGATGCTGACGATTGTCCTTTTCCTTGGCCATTCCTTGCCTTTGCCTTTGCTCTTGCCGTTTTGGGTGTTGCTCGTTGTGGGCGTCGGTTGTCCGCTCGAACACCCCTTTTGACAAGTTTCCTTCACCTTTCCATGCAGGCGTTTTGCTTGTCCTACCCGGCACATTGCCCCTGCTCTTTCCTCTCGGCGGGCGCGGGCACTTGTCGACCCATTGGTTGAAACGGCCGCGCCGCAAACCGCCTTTTTGGCAGTTGTGCGTCTTCTGTCCAAGTCGTGCCCCGCCAGCCTCGATCGTTCCAGTCTGGGCAAAAATCTCCAAACGGCCACCCTTCCCAAGTTTCGTGGCATTGGCGCTTCGCCGGTTTGGCAAAACCTCTGTCTCCTGGCGCTTTCAAGATCGCACTTCTGGTCTTGACTACAATCAACGTTGCGTCCAAGTCGAGTCTGGTCGGCAAGCTGCTAAAGTGTTGTTGCGTGAGTTGCGCGTTGACTATGGACACCAACGATCTCAAGAAGTCTTGCAAAACTGCGAACCTGTCCTCATTTGTTTCCTGTAGCAGGCGGAACGACTCGCTCACAAAATCATCGACCTTCTGATGATATCTTTGTAATTCCAGCCAAGAGGCGAAACGGATAATCTTGGCTACGTCGTCTTCTGTCCTGCGAGCGGTATCAAATAGTTGGAGCGCAACTGTCTGGTTATTCCGGATTCGTCAACGGTGTCGATACTGATGCGAACCAAGTCTAACAGTTTAGCTTGGTGTTGTAATAGGTGTTGTTTGCCGTAGAACCTCTTGGCTTTTGCTGCGGACCCACAGTCGATGTTTTCAGCTCGGCGCTCACGTGCCACGTTTGCAAGTTTTCTTCTCAACATCCCCAGCTTTGCGAATGACAAACGGTTGGGCAAGCTTCTACACCAGGTCCATCGAAGATGGCGGAAGCCATGGCCGATGACAATCGCCCGATCTAGGATACCCGCGCGCGCTGCTGTCAGTGGAGCCGTAGCTCCACTACCAACTATGTCGATCCAGGATCGCTCAGGACCGAATCGGGGTCGGGGGGCATCGTTTTTGTTCCCTCCTCGGCGCCCTAGCTCAAGGGCCCTAAACGGAAGCGGACGATCCGTAGAGTGAGATGGGGGACCACGAGAGACAAGCCAAACAAAGATAAATAATGAGGCAACTAAATAGTCCTGACACTCCCCTTTCTCCCTCCCCCGGTCAGGACCCCCCCCCGATCCAGACCCCCCTTGGCGTGCATGCCGAACGCGCCGAAATCTGGGGTGAAGGTCTGGCATCCTGCCTCCTTTCCAGCCTCCTTCCGTCCTGGAGGGACCTGTGAAAGAGGATGGTAAAATCAAGATGTGATAGTCCTTCCTTGCTGGTATTGGCCATGGTCCCAGAAGTGTGCTGGCACCGCGCAATCCCGGTACCGTACGGGTACAAATACCGCAGAGTCCTGCTACCATACCGGCGCTGCCAGCACCGCTGGTCATATAACCGGACACACCTAACTTACCGTTGCCGCGTGCCCCATGATACCGGACTGCAACGTGCCGTACCTTGGCCACAGGGAGCCCGAAAAATAGATGCGACGAACAGTGCTGGACGGATCCGTCGCCTAGGTCTCCAGAGCTCTCCAGAGGTGACGAAAGTGGGAGGTAGCAAAGGATATGTTGGCGCATCAGCTTACGCAACCGGTTTCCTGGCCGCCTCCCAGCGCTGGAAACGCCAACTTACAAAAGAAAGCGCCTGGTGCGGCGGGGCTGAAGCCAACTGCATGCAACCGAATCCGCCCCCCCCTTCCCAATCCCCCCTTCGTGCGACCCGATGGGGTGCCCCAAACCGAGCCTGACTCTGTCGCCAACCAACTTGTTCACCTGCCTACCTACTGATGGATCCCTGGTCCTCCTCCTCCTCCTCCTCCTCCTCCTTCGCCGCAGGTTCCTTCCTTAGGAAATGTTGGAACATATTTTTTTAACATCAATGAACACGAACGACAGCAAAACAGCCGCACACGATGCCCGTCCAGCAAGCGCCTGACAAGTCCGCTGCCCCTCAAGGGGGCTATAACCGCACCCATTGGAAAAAAGCCTGAGCCCGGTAACGACCGTGATTTAAACTGGACGGCCGGGAAGATGCCACCACTAACAGAGAGGAGGCGGAAGAGGAGAGGGGGAGCGGAGGAGAAGGAGGGGACGAGGACAGCCGAATGTCAACGCGTGCCATCTGTCGACTCCGGGCGCACCGCCAGGGTTCCAACATGGGCAGGCCATCTGCAGCCTGAGGCCCAGCCTCACAACACGCATACTGGGACGCTCCACGCCCGAAGAGTGGACTCGGGCAACAGATTTCTGCGCCCCTCCCGCCGCAGGGAGGGGTTCCCAGGCTGGCAGGGTCGTGGGAGGGTTGGCTGACAGGAAATGTTGGAAAATATGCCATCCACCTGGCAGGGTCGTGGGTTCCCAGGCTCCCAGCCGCAAGCACCGCCGAAACGCCCCGACCATGGAGCACACACACACACACACACACACACACACACACACACACACACACACACACAACACATATATACATATATATATATATATATATATATATATTATATATATTGCGTCGGCGGCTGGGCAAAGGGACTGCTCTGGCGATATGCCATACACACATACATACACACAATCACACACACACACACACACACCCACACACACACACACACGCACGCACGAACGCACGCACGCACAAACACACACAGACGGTCACATATTGACCCAAGGGGGCCCAGAAGCCGCCCACGAAGGCAGAAAATCCGCCGACCCCTGAAGCGTGTGGGGGCAACTTGGCAACTTGGGGCCCCGCCTTCTCACCGCCCGCCACCACGTCACCACATCGCCTGCCACACCCACCTTCTGGTAATTACCTATGATCATCGGCATCCCCACCCAGCACTTTCCCTCCAACAACCGACCCTCACCCCAGCCACGCCCCCATACTTTCGACGGTGCCCTTGGGAGGGCGCGCGTCCCTTTCGTGCCGGGCAGCGAGACGCCCCTGGTCGCGTAGTCCATCGTGACGGACAGCACGGCCTCGAGCTTCCTTCCGAGGGGCCCCCGCTCGAGCAGGAGCAGCAACATCAGCAGGCGTCTCCACTTCCTCACCGCCCCCCGACCTGACAGCACGAAGAGGAGGATCGAGAGACTCTCGAACGTGTCTGGCCTTAGCCTGGCTTCTCTGGACGCCTCTGGGATTCGTCCGGGGTTCAAAAAACCTCCTGAGACCTCCTCCTGCTCCTCATTGCTCCTCCCTGTCCTTTCCGTCCCCTCCCACTCCATCCTCCCATCCCTTTATCTCCTCCCCTCCCCATCCTCCCCCCTCGGCATGGCCAAATCTGGGGAACCGATGGATCGGGGGGCGTTGCTTTGCGTTGCGATGGGATGCGCTGCGATGTGCTGCGTTGCGGGAAGGGCTGGTGGTTGGCTAGAAAAGCAGTCTATGCACGTGTACCGATTCTGGCCAGGCCAGTCCTGGGCCCAGGATCGGTGTATACGCCCTTCTGGCTCGACCAGGGAAGCATATCTACCGATCCTGGGCGCAGGATGGGCCTTGCCGCATCGTTGTCTTCCTTCGTTTGGCATTGCGCTGCACTGCCAAGGGGCGGCCGGCACCAGCGGCCGGGCGCGTACCCAACAGCCTCGAGAAACTGTGCAAAGCCGGAGGGCAGCGCCTGCGCTATGCACGGGACCCAACAGTACCACCCCGAGGAGCCCGCAGACACCCGGAGGCGTTGGCGGTGGCGGACGGAGAGAAAGCGGCCCACGGGAACACATGTTGGTCGGCGGCGACTTGCTTGCCTCCAAGAGGCGTGGGACATGCGGCAAGCGAATGTGGCCCAAAGGCAGAAGACTAACAAAAACACGCGCTGGGAACAAACACCAGCCGCGATAGCCAGCGACCCCCTCCCCCCTTTTTTCCTCCTCCTCCTTTCCCTCCTCCTCCTCCTCATCCTCCCCCTCCTCGCCCACCTCGTCCTCCTCGTCCTCCTCGTGTTCCTCCTCCTCCTCCTCCTCTTCCTCCTCTTCTTCCTCTTCCTCCTCCTCCTCCTCCTCCTCCTCCTCCTCCTCCTCCTCCTTTTCCTCTTCCCCTCCCCTCCTCCCCTCCTCTCCTCCTCCTCCTCCTCCTCCTCCTCCTCCTCCTCCTCCTCCTCCTCCTCCTCCTCCCCGGGAAGGTGTCAAGCCATGCTGCGACCTCAAAATCCCAGCAGGCCTCGCCGCACGGTCAGCCACCGCACCGTCCTGGGACCCTGGGGGCCGCCTGTCGACCGAGGCGACCCTCGGCGAACGAACCGAGTCCCAGCTGCCTCCCAGGCCTCCGTCGACGCGACCCGTTTGAGTCCAAGGGGGGCGTCCATGAGGGGGGAGCGCAAGCTATAGCCGGCGGCTCCCCCCTTCCCCCATACTTCACCTCTCTCCCTCTCCTCGGGCCGGCGCCGGCGTCGGCGGCGGCTGGCGGCGGTGGTGGGGAGCATCGATGACGACGACGACTTCCTTCTGGGTCAACGCCAACGCCTGCGGCGGCTGGTGGCGGCGGCGGGGAGCGTCGACCAGGACGACGGCGACGACGACGATGACGACGACGACGCTCCGCCACCGTGCGTTGGTTTTGGGTCAGGGTCCTTATGGATGCCTCTGTTTTTGGTTCGGAACCGCGGGATGCGGCGGCGCCAGCTGTGGGTCCTTATGGATGCCTGTTGGGGTCTCATCGGGGGGCTCTCTGGGGCCTTTGACGGGCATTTCTGAAGCCTTCTGTGCGCCTCCTGGGAGTCTATTGGGGCCTCTCTGAGGCGGTGGTGGTGGAAGTGGTGGTGGTGGGCTGTGGTGGTGGTGGTGGTTATGGCGGTGGTGGTGGTGATGGTGTGATTGGCGGTGGTGGTGGTTGTTGTGGTGGTGTGGCTTCTGGTAATGGTAGTCGTGGTGGTGGTGGTGGGTCGTGGTGGTGGTGGTGGTGGCGGTGGTGGTGTGGTGGCTTGTTGCGGTGTACGTGGTGGTGGTAGTGGTTGTGGTGGTGGTGGGTAATGGTGGTGGTGGTGGCGGTGGTGGTGGTTGTGGCGGTGGTGGTGGTGGGGGTGTGGTGGCTTGCTCTGGCGGTGGTGGTTGTGGTGGTGGGTGGTGGTTGTGGTGTTGGTGGTGGTGCTGGTGGTGGCGGTTGTGGTGGTGGTTGTGGTGTGTTGTTTTTTGGTGGTGGCGGTGGCGGTGGTTGTGGTGGTGCGTTGTGGAGGTGGTGCTGGTGGTGGTGGCGGTAGTGATGGTGGTGTGGTGGCTTGTGGTGGTGGTAGTTTGTTATGGTTGTTATGATGGTGGGGTGGTGGTTGTGGTTGTGGTGGTGCTGGTGCGGCGGTTTGCTGTGGTGGTGGTGGTTGTCGTGGTTTGTGGTGGTTGTGGTGGTTTGTGGTGGTGGTGGATTGTGCTGCTGGTAGTGGTGCTGGTGGTTCTGGCGGAAGTGGTGGTGGTGGGTTGTTGTGGTTGTGGTGGTGGTTGTGGCGGTGGTGGTGGTTGTGTGGTGGTTTGTGGTGGTGGTGGTGGTGGTAGGTTGGTGGTGGTGGTAGTGGTGGTGGCGGTGGTGGTGGCGTGGTGATTGTGGCAGGTCGTGGTGACGGTGGTGGGCTGTGGTGTTGGTGGTGGTGGTGTTGCTGCTAATGGTAGTGCTGGTGGTGGCGGTGGGTGGTGGGTGGTGGTAGTGGTGGTGGTTGTGGTGGTGACGGCGGTGGTGGTGGTGGGTTGTGGTGGTGGTGGTGGCGTTGTGGTGATGGTGGTGGTGGTGTGGTTCGTGGTGGTGGTGGTTGTGGTGGGTTGTGATGGGTCGTGGTGGTGGTGGCGGTGGCGTTTTTGGTGGAGTGGTGGTGTAGTGGTCTGTGGTGATAGTGGTGGTTGAGGCGGTGGTGGACTGTGGTGGTCGTCGTGGTGGTCGCGGTGCTGGCGGTGGTGGTGGTGGTCGTGTGGTGGTTTGTGGCGGTGGTGGTGTAGCCTTCGGGTCTTCCCGTCACCGTGTTTTGGCTTTGGGTCAGCGTTCTAATACATGGATGCCTCTGGAGGTCTCGTCACAGGAGTGTCGGGGGCGTCTGACGAGCATTTGTGAAGCCTCCTTGACCTTCCTAACGGCCTCTCGGTGGTTTTTGGGGTGCAAGGGCTCGATATGGCGATTCATGTTTACCCTCCCTCTCTGGTCAACGTCGCTGCGTCCCAGCCGCCGGCGCTGCTGGCCGCCGCCAGCGGAAGGGGGAAAAAAAAACGGCGCCGGGGGAAGGGGGGTTTGGAACTCCCCCCACCCCATGGGCCCAATCTGGCCGTCGTCGCTGCGTCCCACCGTCGGCGCTGCTGGCCACCGCCAGCGCCGACGGCGCCGGCGCCAGCGCCGGGAAGGGTTATGTTGTTCCCATCCTACTTAAGAACCACATCCCAGAAATAATTTCGAGCATCCAGAAAAGTGTTAAAAGAGTGCCGAAACATTGTCGAAACAGTGTCGGGCGAGTGTCTCCCAGGGCCCGGGACGTGAAAACCCTTGAGTTTCGGTACTTTTTTTGGCGCTCGAAATTCTTTCTGATGACCAAGGCTAAAAAAATTTGGAACAACATAGGGGGGGTGGGTTGTACCGGCAGCGTTTTGTTTCGCTCGTTTTTTTTTTCGCTCGCTTCGTTTCGCTTGTTTTCCTGTTCGCTCGTTCTTACTTCGCTCGAGTTTTGTTTCGCTCGAATTTGTTTTCGCTACTTCTTCTGTCGTTCGTTTTTTCCGCTCGAATTGTTTTTCGCTCGATTCCGTTTCGCTCGTTTCTTCGCTCGGAGTTGTTTCCCTCAGTGTCGTTTCGCTCAGTCTCGTCTCGCTTGGTTTTCGCTCCGGTTGCGCTGGTGCAACCGTTCATCCCAGCGAATTTCAACCGAGCGGAATCAAACCCGAGCGAATTCAAACCGAGCAACATTCAGCCGAGCGAGATGAAACCCGAACGATTTTAAACCCGAACAGACTTAAATCCGAGCGAATTTCAACCCAGCGAATTCAAGCCGAGCGATTTTAGACTGAGCTAATTTAAACCGAGCGAATGTAAACCGAGCGAAGTAAAACCGAACAGACTCAACCCGAGCGAATTGGAAACGAGCGAATCTAACCCCGAACGAGTTGCATTCCGAACGAATGTAAATTCGATCGTTCTGAAATTTCGGGTGGTAGGTTTGTTGGACGGTTTTTGCAAGGTGTTTCGGAAGGTCTGTTTGAAGGTTGTTGGAAGGTGTATGTGTTTCTCAAAGTTTTTAGAAGGTTTGCGCAAGGTTTTCGGAAGGACTGCTGAGGGTTTCTAAAAGGTTTTTGTTGGGCTATTTGGTAGGATGTTGTTCCGCAAGGTGTTTGCAGGTTTTTGCAAGGTGTTTGGAATGTCTTGGGCGATCTCGGTAAGTTTGGAAGGCGTTTAACAGGTTTGTGGAATAGTTTAGAAGGATGTTGCACGGTTTGGGGGAGGCTTTGGAATTGCTTTTGGGAGGTTTCTGTCGGTTTGTTTAAAGTTGCCTACCTAGGCTCTGCCTAGAAGGTTCTTACTCTCTGGGCTTAGATGGGCCGGGCAGTGGAAAGCGCCCCGGGCGGTTCCCCCAGTATCCGCCCCGCGGTTCCCCCAGCTGCGCCCCTTTAGCTTAGCTTTACTTAGCTCATCTTAGCTTAGCCTAGCTTAACTTAGCTTAGCTTAGCTGAGTTTAACATAGCTAGCTTAGCTTAGCTTAGCCTAGCCTAGCTTAGCTTAGCTTAGCCTAGCCTAGTTTAGCTTAGCTTAGCTTAGCCCAGTTTAGTTTAGCTTTGCGCAGCATTAGCATAACATAGCATATCATAGCATAGCATAGCACCGCATATCATATCATATCATATCATAGCATCGCGCAGCCTAGCATTGCGCAGCATAGCATCGCATAGCCTAGCATTAGCATAGCGCAGCATAGCACAGCATATCATAGCATAGCATAGCTAAGCCTAGCACAGCGCAGCATAGCATAGCAAAGCATTGCATAGCGCAGCATAGCCTAGCAAAGCATAGCCTAGCATAGCATATCATAGCATAGCCTC